GGAACACCTCTCTTAACGATGTTTTGCACCTGCAGCTAGCCACTGGCGGACAGACATTCCTTCCTGTTTCAGTCTGTGTCGTCCCCAATAACAGCACCGGCCCTCATTCGATGACTGTGAATGTGGGAACCTGTGGAGTGCACTTTAAGAGCAGGTGTTAGTTATTCCCCTTTACGTTATTAAAGGGCTTAAGTAAATGTCTATTGCTGTTTTAAATGCAGACTTCGCAATGTATACAGTCAAACCTCGGTTTTCGAACGTCTCGGTTCTCGACCAATTCGGTTTTCGACCAAAAATTTCGAGTTTTTCTGCCTCGGATGACAAACAAATTTCGGTTCTCGAACAAACTGAGCGCACTTGAATGCACCACTTGACTCCTTTCGCCTTCCTTACATGAGGAAATGACGCTTCCTCGGGTAGACGAGGAAGTGACGCTTCCTCGTGTCGCTTTCCATTGTGAGCAGACGTGTTCAATAAACTTTTTTTTTTTTAAAAAGAGCGTGGTTTCGGTTTTCGAACAGCCTTCTGGAACGGATTATGGATGAAAACTGAGGTTTGACTGTATATGAAAAAAAATCTATACTTTTTGGGTGATATTTGTTAACACTGTCAGTATGACCTGACGGCAGGAGCAAAACAATCTGTGAAAAAAAAACCCAGCCCACTCTCGTTGCATCTTGAAGAATAACTCTGATTTGAGTTTTAAGAAACCAACCAATCAAGAAAAACAGCCAATCAGAAGAAGAAGGTGTAACTGATGAGATCAATCAATCAATCAATCAATCAATCATTTTATCTAAAAAAAAAACTTTTTTTCCTTTCAATTGAGTTCTACAGGAATAAAGTCGCATTAATGCTGGGGGTAAGTAGAAATGATTTATCTTAGTCTTGTTTTGCCACATCACAAAAACTTGGATTTGAAAAAAGGTGTTTTCGAGGAATTTTATAAACAATGTATGCAGTCTAGACAACTCAAATGTGCAGTATGCAGCGCAGCACATGGATACATACAAAAACATACAGACACTGTAATGCTCTGAGATGGGAGCTGTGCCAAACCAACACTTCATTTCCATTTCAAATCCAAGGCCCGACTTTGACTTTTTAAACACTTAACTAGTTAAGATGTCACTTTCCCTCTTCGTCTGTTATGTTGCTTGTCAACGCAGTTTGCGTTACTATGACAACTTCAAATGTATTATGTTAAGTTGACAAGTCAAACCCATCTACAAGCAAGTTGTGATTACATTTCAATAACCAAGCAGTTATGAACCCACCTATATTACTGGCTCTTTGCCCACTATGTCATTTAAAAAAAGAGGTTGTTATTATTGTATCTCATTTGCAAGCATTGAGTTAAGAGGTCTGAATTCTCTACTTTTCATGTGATTGTCATAAACCCGATGTTGGTAATTTTGCAGACAAGGACAGGGGGGTTGATCTGCGAGCGGGAGGACTGGGAGTGGTCACAGTCAACTTCAATCATGGCATATCAAATTGGCTCCTTTCATTCCACTGCCCTCACGCTGCAACGCGTCTTCACACTGGCGTTTTATGGAGTTACAAACCAACAAGAAGGAGAAAGCTGGAGATGAAGTTTTTGAAGCGATCGGCGCTGGTGAGGAGAGCTGTTGTTGGTGAGTGCGACCGCTTCCCCTTCAAGCTGCGTCAAAGCAGGAGGTGAAGGGCCAATGTGGCTTTGTGGCGACTGTGATTGCGAAGTGAACATAACAAACAGCTCCATGACTAAGTGAACACACTTCCATGTCTCTTAGGGTCCGTACATTTTTTTTAATCACTGGAGGGACAGCAACAAACTGGCAAACAAGGAAAAGGCCTTAAAATGCCAACGAGTGAGGAGGACTTGGAGGGCATCATAAGTTACATATCCGATAAACTCAGTCAAGTGGTCAAACAACAAAGCAGGCTGCAAAACTTGATGAATGACATTAAACAAATGAAAAACACGGATTAAAAAATAGACATTTTGTAACAGTCAACTGAGGACTTGGAACAATATTCAAGGATGGATGATATTATAAATGCGAACAGTAGAGATAAAGACACTTGAGCAACAAGTTTCAACATTTCCCTCTGCAAGTCACGTCAACGATATTTCCAGTTGCCATATGTGTTGTCCTGTGAGTTGTAACACCAAGATCAAATTGCTAAAAGAGTATTTGCACGCTATCCATCCATCCTGAGAAAACAAAACAAGATAAAGAAAACGTAAGGTCATGATACGACCAAACGCCGCACCTGAAGAAGCAAAAGTTGTGACGTTAAAATAACTCAAAAACCTCAAACATCTATTCATCCTTCCGTCAATCCATTCGTTATCTGAGCCGCTTATCCTTTCAAAGGGTGTGGGGGGTGCTGGAGTCTATCCCAGCTGTCTTGGGGCAGTAGGCGGGCGACACCCGAAACTGGTTGCCAGCCAATCGCAGAGACCTCAAACACTGTAAATAAAATATGGCTTCAATGACTCAGTATGATGAGTGGACTGCGTGAAGACCGGGTATAGACCAAGCAACTATTGTGGCTCTTTGTGATCTGTGATATATTGAAACAACAAAGAAAAGGATAATATGTTGCCATTCAGAGACCTTGAGGAGCTCCAACTTGCAGATAGTGAAATACACTGCCCAAGTCGACCTTCTGGTCGATGTGTAGACAAACCGGATTATAGAATCTTTGAAAATGCGGAACATAAATTCTGAAATCCGCAAAACAATCTGGACCCACACAATAATTTCTTAAAAAATCATTTTCACTAGCTGTCATGTTTAATAACAATGTAAATAGCAACAAAATGCAAATAATTCAATATACTGTGTTCGTCCAGCTTTCTACCCTGCACGTGCTTTTGATGTGAGCAAGCATACAGTTAAGTTCAACTTTCTGCCATTGAATTGTTACCCCTCCTGGCGCATCTCCAAGGCACGCCTTCTGCTGCGCCGGGCCGCCAGGCTTGGTGGAAACTCGTCTGCCAAATTGGACAAAATATGCGCATTGAGTCTTGCAGCTTATGCAATAGTCGGGATCCGACGGTAGTTACGCCACGGCGCAGGTGCACTGTCTAGGAAAATAGAGCCTATAAGTTATGTGGAATTTAATAAATAATGACAGGGGACACAAACACATCTGTCTTTTGGAAAGCAGGTGGCATTTTCCCTGGTCTTAAACTGTCTACAGGGTGTGGAAAAAAGAGACCACAAAGATGAGCATGACCAAAAAGCTTGCAGGTGGGAAGAACAACCACTCAGCGTTCATTGTCATAGAGAGCCAAATATTATTATTGTTTTGTCGCCATTTATTTTTGGGACATAAATTGATCATTCCTGCCCTAGAATGAAGACTACGGTCATTAATCGAAGCCCTTTTCTCCAAAAGATTCTGTGATGGCCAAAATGGCTGTTACAAAACACTCATACTGGGAGGAACGCTGTTGCTTCAAGCTAAAGGAAGGGTGTGTGAGTGTAAAATAACACCAAAAACTAAACTAAAGGAAGAGTGCAGATGGAGAAAGAGAGTTGGAAGAAAGCGGGATATGGAGAAGGAGTACCCGGGCGGGTGTTCCAAAAACCTGTCAAGGTATTTCCTTTTGCAAACACAAAATTTGCGGCACTTTGGAGAGCGGCGTGCCAACACTCACACATGCAGACCCTCCAACACATAACAGCTGCAACTTTGATTTAACGCATACTTTGATTGGGTAGGTCTCAGGTTGACTCCCTCATCCCTTTGCAGTCGTGACTGTGGCCGCCATGCACAGCTGCGAGCGCGCCGCGCGCACACACAAGCACGGCCAAACTTAATGAGCCATTCAATACGCTCCGAGCTCCAATGTCCCCCGACCCCTGCCGCCAGTACCGTATGCGCACAATTCCGCTTTCCCCTCGCTTGATATGCGTCTCATCATTCCTGATTCTACCATGCATGTGCCTGCTTGCTCTCACATAAATATGCACACACACACACACAGGCACCCATTATGTCCCGTCGTTCTCTCTCTATGCCAGCTCTAGTCCACGCAGTGTGTTTACGTAGCCTGCTGAACCGAGATGAAGAAAGAGCATTGGAGGCATGGGCCAGTGCCGTTTGTCTACAGGGGGATTTCTCGGGACTCACAGGAAATGGACCAAAAAAAAAAAAATGGGAAAAGAAGGATGAAAATAAGCAACCAAAACCTCAGTCATAAGTGAGGAGACAGACAGAGAAGCCATATGTCCCAGGGGTCCACATAACCTGGGACGAAACGTGGGAATCTCCTCACAGCTCCACCACCAGTTTGTTCCCTAGAAATGAATGCTGGGCCAACAGCAATAAAAACGTTGCGATTTGACTCCGGGAAAAGCTACATGTAGATTTGGGGCTCTCGACGGCTTTTTTTTTCCCACCATTTATTGGATATCACGGCAAAACAGCTTAGTCTGTGTGTGTACTCAAGTTGTTGTGAAACATTTTGCTGAGTTGTGGGAATGCAAAGTGAGTCTGTGGTTCGCATTGTGCCCCTTGGCCATGGGCAACGTTTGAACTGTCTGGCCTTTGTGCTCAAAATGAGCAAGCGTGAATCATTAAATATTGATTTAAAACTGCTAATTACTCCCGAGCCTCCTCAGGTGAAGAGTGTAAAAGCAGCTTCTCCGATGGTTTTGTAAATACTTGTCATGCATTCATCGATTCATTTTCCATTATTTCCTCAAGAGCAGCATATGGTGTTGCACATAAGGCTTTGAGTGCTTTATTCACAACTGAACAGAACAGAACAGAACAATAGATAGATAGATCCATCCTTCCATTTTCTAATCCACTTATCCTCACAAGGGTCTTGGGCATGCTGGAGCCTATCCCAGCCGTCATCGGGCAGTAGGCGTGGTACACCCTGAACTGCTTGCCAGCCAATCGAAGGGCACACACAGATGAGCAACCATCCGCGCTCACGCTCACACCTAGGGGCAATTTAGAGTGTTCCAATCAGCCTGCCACGCATGTTTTTGGAATGTGGGAGGAAACCGGACCACCCGAGGAAACCCACGAGAACATATAAACTTCACACAGCACTGCACTGTGAGGCAGACGTGCAACCAGTTGACCAACAGCCAATGCACCTTAAATATAGTCAGGAGTAAAAAATTATATATATATATATATACACATATATATATATATATGCCTGCTTACTTCAAACGTCAAAAATCTTCTATTAGAAAGGATCACATGTGTTGAAAGGTTAAGTGATGTGTGTTTTTTGTTGTTTGGATTATAGTATGTTTAGTTTGGTTGCATGTTATGTCTTATTTTCCACTGTTCCATATTCAGGTCTTCTCAATTCATTAGTTTTTTTTTTTGTTTTTTTTTGTTTCCACCTGTTCTCGTCAACTCTGTCCCTTGCATCATCCAGTCAGCTCCCTCCAGCCACTCATGTCCTTTCCAGGTGTGCCTTGTTTTCTCATCAGTTTGATTGTAAACTGCTCAAAAAAATCAAGGGAACACTTGGAGTTAACGTTGTCAAGTTCCCTCCATTTTTAGTCCTGGTCAGTTCATTGTTGTTGATGCAGTTGCTGTTGCTGTTGAGCAACCTCCAACTGGGTCCCTAAGCGGCTCCTAAAGCCGCAGCGACCCGAGTACCTGCAGACCCAGTTGTCGGCTGTTGACTGGGAACTGTTGGTAGTCCGAAGGCACGCCCAACACCGCTTGGAGGTCGTTCCCGAGTTAGGTTGTTGTTGATGCTGCTGTGCTCAGTCATGTGATGCAATGTTTTTCTATTTTTCTGCCTGGTGAGCCCGTTCCCTCTATTAATTGAGGAATTGTTTAATTTATTATTTTGATTCCTGCGATTGACTGGCAACCAGGTTCAGGGTCTCCACCGCCTACTTCCCGAAGATAGCTGGGATCGGCTCCAGCACCCCCCTCAACCCTTGTGAGGATAAAGCGGATCGGAAAATGAACAAATGAATCAATTATTTACAGCGCCTTGTTTGCCTTTTTGTTTTTGAAATAAATTCTTCTTTAGATCCATACTTTGCTTCTCTGCATTTTGATCCTCCATGTTTTGGCACAGCGCCACACACATTAAAAAAAATCTGCTTTTGTGAGAAATTTGTGGACAAATTGGTCCCTTTGGAAGCCCTGTCTCTTGATCATTTATTGAAAAATTAGGACATAAGAGGACCTGATTAGCCATTATCCAAGTTGTACAGAATTAAAAGGACACTTATGTTTGTTGGTTTATTTCCTGTTTTGCTTTTTACTGCATGAGCATTGTACAAAATTCAGTTTTGCACTCAGCGGCTAATAATGAAATCCAACAGCAAATGCTCACTTGTCTTTTTACGCTCCATGGTGGTCCCAATCATGCTGATTTACAGCTAGGTTCTCTTCTTTTTCTGCACTGGTTGAGAGAAAGGACCAGGTGCCATTTGCTCCTGTGTCGTTTGTCTTAAGAGCAGACCCCCTGAATTACTTTCTCTCGTGCACTTTTCCTCTGGACCCGCCCACCTAAATATTGAGCTCATTTGTCTGGAAAAAGGACGGCAAATAACAGAGCTGCGTGTTTCGGTGTGACTGTGTTACTTCATATTTGAAGCAGGTGTGTGTCCAAACAGTGAGCGTGTGTGGGAATGTGACTTGAGGTTTGCATTTAACTAACAGAGGGGGACTTCTAGCCAAAGAATCTGGCCACAAAAACCAAAACCAGCTAACCTCAGTGTCTGGGTGGCAGCTCTGAACCTCGCCACTTAATCAACCAAGGCATTATACAACTTTGCGGCCCCAGCCCATAGGAGAAAGTTCAAGACGGGACAGATCTTGGGTTAACATATGTGTTTACTTTTGCGACTTTCTCACACATCCTCCGTTTTTGTCCTCCACTTGTGCTGTTCAGGAGAAAAGACAGGTGAGAGAAGATATCATGACCCTTAACCTTGCATCAACTCCTGGGCTGCTTTGTGCAGCCAACTGGGTTGACCTGACCTCAACCCTCAGAGTGAACCTGGGGTCACTGCCAGTTGCTGCTGTTTGGCAACAGTCCACAACAGGTCCAGGGAAGCAACACTCCAGAAGAGAGCTGTGACCGCCTTTCTGTGAATATGAGGCGAGAGGAATATGCGATATCCCTCCTGTAAATTTATAATTGCATGTTTTGCTGCACAAAGCTACAATTATACGCAGTCTAGCGCTTGTTTCACCCTCCGTAGCAACACACATGCTAACCATAATGAAGGCGGGATTTAATGACTTACAACTGCTTAGCGTGAGCAGAAACTGCATCAGCCACACTGACGCTACTACTAAGATACGACAGTATAATCAAGACAATTCAAAGTGAAGACCTGTTTCTCATTCCAAGTCAGCGGCTCTTGCCCACCGGCGTCCCAAATCAGGACGAGTGCTATTGAAAATGGATGGATGGAAGAAATAAGGTGTTTTCGGCAACCAACCAGTTTAATTCGTTTCACTTTGTTTATTTTAAATGTGCACGTCTTCATCAGTTGCTGTTACCGAAATCTACAAAGTATTTATTTAAAAAAAAAAAAAAAAAGTTTCAAATATCACAGCTGCTTGATTATGGAGGTCGCTGATTTTCGAGCTTTTCCACTCTCAGGAGGGTGCAAATTCATGAGAATGTGACATCTGTTTGTTAGTTCCGGCTTACTAAGCAGCTTTATTTACTAAGAAATACAAACAGAGTTAGTAAATTTCAAATAAAGAGCATCTTGTTTGCTTCAAGTTGGTGTTATACCTTATATTGCTACTGCAAATTTAATCAGCTGTTAAAAAAAAGGCTAATTTATCATACTTTCACTGACTAAATTGGCATAAAGAGGCACCAACTGCTTGTAACGGGCATATTATTGATCATATGATTTAATTTTTTTTTCTATGCTGGTCCATCAAAATAAGACTTTACGTGAAACCTGTCTGGAACACAATAAACGCCGGGGCCGGCCGTACTGTGCTAAACAAATGTAGATTAATCAACTTTTATCACATTATGGTCGACTACAAAAAAATCTGTAGCCCTCCATCCCCTATTAGGTACCAAAGCTACATTGTCAAATGTTATTTCTTGAATTTATTTACATTTGTGCCCACTGACTGACTAAAGTAAACCCCTCTCAAGGAAATAACTTTTTACAAGAGAATGTGTGCTCAAGTTGACTCATTTGCCTAAGTAGGCCATTGGTTCTGAATGGAGAGGTTTTGTTCTGACGCTAACAAGGTGTATCGCAGGGGCTCTCTTTCATTCGCGCCTTCCTGTCGTCCGCTGACTCTGGCGTCCGGGCAATCAGCGTCGCGTTTGGGCGCTCTCTTTCTGTGATTTACGAGCTCCCAGATTCATTTAAAAGCCATTGTTCTACTCTGACGGATACCACGGGCCCCTCCACGTTCTCACTTGTGGACAGCACACACGGGCTTGCACAGCTGCCGTTTACTTACTCTGTCTCACACACACACACACACACACACACACACACACACACACACACACACACACACACACATGCACACACACACACACGCACACACACACACTCATGGCCCATCTATCATGAAGCGATGAGGGAGTAGATTATTTTCTCAGTTGCAAGAATAACTCAGAGATGACCAACAATGTTCAATTCAGATGTGAATTAGAAACCAACAAATGAGAGAAACGCGAAGAGGAGTGGAAACCTTTGGCTTTGCAAAAGCAACTTCATTGTGAATGAAAAAAACAAGCCTTACTGTCAGACGAAAACTGATTCAATGCTTTGTTCAATGAAAAACACGTGTTGCTTGAATCATACGGATGAAAACACCTTCAGCCTTCTAAATTGAGCTCACAGAGCTCCGTCTTCTGTCAATTAAAGTCAGACTTGTAAGGTCACGGAACAATATTAGAAATGTGAAACTATAATTCAGTCACAGAATACAGTCGCCCACATCGAAAAAAAAAAAAAGACAACACATAACCACAACATCATGTCACCATATGTGAATGCCATTTTCAAATGTGCTGTTATGAAACTGAAAGAGAAATGAAACCATCGTCAGTCAAGAAAGCCAAAAGCTCCTCTCTATGCGTTTTGCTGAACACGAGCAAGGTGTCTGTAAATTCATCAAGGCACACCTGTGCTTGATTAAGTGTGTTTAGACTGCAAATTGAAGGCAGTGGAGGAGGCAAAAAAAGAGGGGGTGGTAATTTAGAGAGCAGAGGCTTTATGAGAGCAATCATCTCCAATAAGCGCTGCTCGGGAATCGCGAGCCCACCACCACGCGCACTCCAACAAACACAGTTGCACTTTATCTTGATACACGTGCACCTATGTGTTAATTCTGGGACTTATATTGGAAGCTAAACAATGTTTAATCCCAAAGCTCATCAGTGGGCAACTTACTTTAATTTTGGGAGATGAGGAAAAGGCGGCCTCCCACAAAGTGGGCTGTATTGAGTTACAGCCTCTGCTCCGCCTTTGAACGGGAGATTAACTTCTCTCTCTGAGTTCATATTTTCATTTGGGACTGCCTGTGGTCAGACGGAGGCTGGCGGGGAAAGAAAACACAGCACAAGAGGGAGGGAAGGCTTGGTGAAGATATAATGTTGGGATAATAAATCATATGCACACACAATAAAAGGCAAGAAGAGTTGCATTGGCGACCGAGTTATCGAGCTGTTGCAAGTTCACACACTCCGTTAGTCTCTGATGAAGTTGTGATGAGCATATTGTGGACTCTTCTGTAGCGTGCCACATTGCCACATCACTGGGAATAGTGAGTGAGGCCTTTTTTGGAGCAAAGGTCACATTTAGTCGGACTGTAAGAAACCTAACCAGATTTTTCGACGATTCGTCACGTTAACAAGGAAAAAAAAAAAAATATATATATATATATATCCGAAGAGCTGAGGAGGTGACTTTGGGGACGTTAAAGGGCTGATTTTAAAATGAAACAACCTCTCAAACTGTATTGTTTTCATCAAGGATGACAATGGTGAAATGACTTTGATGGCGCCCCTTTTCTTCATGACCATAATGATACGATGACGAGCTTAACGTGGCACCTTGTTGACTAAAACATCACGAGGCATGTAAGTCTCCAGTGACGAAAAGGAACTGGGCAAAAGCTTTGGTCTGTCAGACGTTCAAATGCATTTTCACCACATCGATATTTGTGGCCGCTAGCTAGAGTCAGGCTCATGTTAGCTTGGTTGTGCTTACGTCAATTCATGAGTTCATGTTCTGTGTGTCTGACTGTAATGTGTAGAACGTGCAGATGTTTTTGGCCCGGCAGCGAGTGTGTTTCCATGTTTGAATGACTAAAACGTGGAGGGAATATTGCCTTTACTCCCGTTTGCTGTTCCCCGTGCATGTAAATGAACAGCTCATTTGGCTTCTAACTTTAGCACACAAAGAGTCCAGATACATCAGAATTTGGGCCAATGCTCAGAAAGAACGTTCAGAAAGTGCAGGGTGGGTACAAGTCATATGTTTAGTAAGCTCTCAAAACGTATTTCTTTCTTTAACTTGTTGGATGATTAAGGCCATTTAGAGAAGTACTTTGTTCAAATTATGTGACTAAATCCAAACCAAAATTTTTGGGAGTTTCTCTCGACTAAAACTGTTCTAAAATGATCACATATCGAAATGATGAAATTGTGTTAAAATCTAAAATCTACTCAGCATTTGTGTCCAAAGAATAAAACTACAAGTAAAACTATACTTGTAAAATGGCTGCCAAAAACATCTTGCGATGAACCGAACACGGGTTGGCTACTACGACTTCTGCAGCACCTCAGTTGAAGGGCACATTGATGACCTGAAAATATTGCTGTTACAAAATGGTCAAGCATGTGCGGTATAAAATGAGACAATAAGTGATACCTTTGATTTCGCCAAATCGGGGGAATGCTGCTGCTATGCAGAAACATATTTGGCATTATCATATAATGATAATGACATCAATGATATCATGTATTATTTATTTCATTCCATCACCAGATGAGAATTGATTAAAGCATCGATAAGTAATCGAACGGGTAAGCAGTCTCAATGCTGGAATTCAGTTCCCATCCCAAGCGGTCGAAGTGGTGACCCTCTTTTCCTCCTCAGCAATCTGAAGTCCTTGAATAAAAAGTACAAGTGTTCGACAATCAAGGTTGAATCAAAAAAGGGTCATCAAAGTCCATTGTAACAATTTCTTTGAAGTCGAGACTTTGAGGGTGCAGACTTCCACCAAGGCCTCGTTTTTGCTTTACATGCAAATGAAACTCATCCTATTGGAATTGGTAAATCTCCATTAAGGTACATCTGAATCTGAATCATCTTTATTGGCCAAGTATGAAGAACACACAAGGAATTTGTCTCCGGTAGTACAGGCTATATGAGTATCATTATAAACAATGACATAATAAATAAGTATGGAAGGACATTCCATAATGTTAGGGTACCGTTGTGCGCTGGTACCACCCAATGACAGCTGTGAGACAATGTGCAAAGTATCAAGCAGAGCTAAAGTGATCAGTGGTAGACTACAATCCTGTAACAGTTATGCAGTTGGTGCAGAAAATCATTGCACCATTTCATGCACCATTGCATCATACATGTACAATTGCAGTTGCAGCGTATTGAAATGATATCAGGAGAGGAAAAATATTGTGACTCGAGGAGCAGTAACCAGTGTGTCAGCGTATCCACGAAACTGCCGGCAAAGATCTCGGAAGCGCTGTCCTGCTGGTTCGAGAGTAAGTGGGATGCTGACAGCTTTTTGGAGCACTTGTTCTCTGCTCTAACGGGCCAACTGTTGTTATCAGACCTGAGACAGCCCATTGGCATTGAGTTTCACTTTCGTGTGTGTGTGTGTGTGTGTGTGTGTGTGTGTGTGTGTGTGTGTGATTGTATGCATGGTAGGATAAGAAGGGCAGAGAGAGACTCATCGGTTAGATAAGCTGCAGGACAGCAGCGGTGTTTGTGCGCATCGGCCAGAAGTTTTTACTTGTCAGTCACGTGTACAGTACACTCCTCTCATGTTCCTCTCCTGTAAATGTCAGAGCAAAGTCAGTCTCGTCTTGTTTAAGAGAACTCACCTGGAGGAACACATCCACGCATGCATTCCGTACAATCAATGTTTTTTTAAACAATTGTCTTATAGTTTCACCCTGCCCAAATCTTATGGGACAGTTGGTTTTGCGCTGTAAAATTGGGACCACAACACATCAAATGCATCACTTGGAGCAAATAATGTCAGTCGGAGCAGAGTGAGGATCACTGGGCCATTTGTTAACAAAAATGGCTTGAGTGGCTTGAGTCTGTCTGAAATCTGCGCAAAAGTTATCCTGCTGCAATGAGAAGAACTTTCTTTTGGTTAAATGTTTCCAATGTTAGAACATTCATAAAAATAATAAGCAACGTTCCCAAACTCGTTTGACGGCAACGTAGTATTTTCATACTTTTGGGACGCAATCCTACTAAATTCTGAGAACATGCTCATCTCAAGCACTTTATATGCGCTCTCCACATGTATTCAAACTCGGTTTGGATGACGGGGTGGAGGAACTCACTTAGCTTGGAATTCTTTTGTGGTTTTGGGGTTGTGGAAAACGGGAGAGTGAGCATTACACTGAATGCACGCCGAACTCGAAACTTATCTATCTGTGCAGGATGGGCTGAAATAATGGAATAACATAACGTTACCACGAGATGAACCAGCCCACCTGAATCGCCATATGGGTCCCAACTGCCTTCAGCAACTTCTACACCGGCATCTCTCCACCACTGGCTCGACAGCAGGGGGTCACTGATCTTTTTGAAACTGACAGCAAGTTCTTGGCTTCATTTCAACGGCTCCAAGTTTGATACACACTTACGGAATAACACATTTGCACAAATTCTCTTAAACAATCAGTTATTATTAATAACTAAGTAATGATGCAGCGTGGAAAGACGTTTACCTAAACTCTCAGAATGTAA